CCACCCTGTAGAGAGGAAACATTCTCACATGCTTCCTGTTTAACCTGTCATGCATATGCATTCTTCCAAGTTGTGTATTACTTATGCGTGTTTTCTTTATACGAGCTGTTATGTTATGAATTTACTTTGCTTCTTGCCACTCCTCTTAGAACTGTGGCTCTCAGGGCCCTCCCTGGTGGCACAATGGGTTAGGATGCAGCACTGAAAGCTGGCCACAGCTTCGACAGTGCAGCTCGATCCCCGGCCCCAGAGGTGAACCACAGGCAGCCCTCCACTGTCTCTGCCACTGCTCCCCTCAGCAGTGTACTTCTCTGATCTACCTGTTTTGCTCCCCACTCTGTCTCTGGTAAATCCTTGCACCACCCCTGCACCTCTGGCCTGTACCCCAAGTTCTATATACATAAATAAATCTTAAAAAAAAAAAAAAAGAACTGTAGCTTTCAGGCCCACCCATGGTCCATAGTCTTCTAGTTTATTTGTTCAGTGGTTTGCACTCACCAAAGCCATTCTCCATCCTGCCATTTTACCTGCCATCCTCCATGGCAGCCCCTGAATGACCTCAACAGCACCCCACCACTATCACCACTAGGGAAATCCTTAGCAGACCTCGTGGATGTCTTTGTGAGCTCTATGCATGATGGCTGGCACAGAGGGGTGGGTAGCAAATGTGCTGAGGTAGGGACCAGCACTGTTCTGAGTAGATGCCCGATCTCTGCCAGCTGCTCTGCCAAAGGCCACACCACCCTCCCTCCCTAGCCCTGAAATTAGCCTCAGCAATGAAGACCCAGGCCTGATAACAAGGATACTGGGTCATCCTCCCTCCTGGTGTCGCTGGCATGTGTATTATCTGACTTCCCCCCAGACACCCATCTGGGCACCCCTGGTCCCACCCTGACCCCCCACTTGCCCTGCGCTGAATGTGGCAACAGATCTGTGTCATGGACCATGCACCAAAGCAACGGGGAGCTGGACTGATGAAGGTCTACCCCCGGGGATGGACGCATGAAGGTGAGCTCTCGTAGCTCCCACAGCTGCCCGGACACCGCACAGGTAGACAGGGGCCAGCTTCACAGGCACCGGACAGTCACCTGGAACCGGGTCTCTGCTTTACCAATGACAGTGACTCTGAAGAGCTCGCCTGTCGTCTTGGGTTGTGTGGAGCAAGCAGGGGGCCAGCTGGAAGTCAGGAACGAGGAGCCGGGGCCAGACCACCGTGTGACAGCTCCCAGGCAGGCAGAGACCCAGGAGAGTGTCTCAGGCCAGTTGGAGAAATAGTGTCAAGGCTGGGCCAGGCAGTCCGAGCCACCTCTGCACCTCCGCGCTACTTCCTTTTCCAGGGTGGGAACCCCAAAGCGATGGGCATCCCCATGAGGTTATTCCCCAGCTTAGTCTTGAGAAAGACTCCGAAATACCAAACTGGCTGGATGAGTGCCTTCCCTTCCCTCCAGCTCGGTGCTGGGTGGTAGAGGAAAACAACAATACAGAGAGGAGGAGAAAAATCATCATCATAACCTGTTTTTTCCTCAACACTGAAAAGTCAGTGATGGAATAAAGGCTAATGTCTCATAAGATTACGGACTCGTGGGTGCTTTCTTCTGTTTTCCAGGTGGAGAAACAGACTCACAGACACCCAAGGGTGACTATGAGCAAATGAGGAGCACAGATTTAGTAAACCTGAAACTACATGTACCTGTGTTCTGCTTACAAGAGACATCACAGTAGGTTTCATTCCTTGTAACAATGTCACTTTCTTGTAGCTCAAGATAATAATTTTTTTAAAGATTTATTTATTTATGCAGACAGAACTGGGGTACAGGCCAGGGGCACTGGGGCAGTGAGAAGATTCACCAGAGACAGAGTGGGGAGCAGAACAGGTGGGTCTACTGGAATACACTGCAGAGCAGAGCAGCAAGCTAGACACGAGAGGTCTGCTGTGCCCTGTGGGTCAGCTCCCTGGCCGGGGATTGAACTCGTGCTGCAGTGGCTGCAGAGAGCCTCACAGTGCTGCGCTTTAACCTGTTGCACTACCAGGGACGGCCTAAGGTAATAAGGCAATAATTTATAGTATCCTCATAGGATGTCTTCATCCTTTCATCTCATCTCAGGGAATACTCTGAGAAGACTAGTAATAGTTAAAGAAATCAATAACATTTACATCATGCTGCAAAATGGACAATGTTTGACATAAGACTCCAGTTTGAGAAAAATCTTTATTCTGGACAATTGATTCATCAGGCAGGATGGCAGGATTTAAAGATGAAGAAGTGGATTCTGGGAACAAGTGCCTCACTGGACATGCCTCCCACTCTGTCTCAAAGCTTCAGAATGTCCCAGAGTCTTTCTCTGCCAATTAGAACAGGGCAGCGAAAAAAGGACCTTCCCAACTTTGAACTAATGTGATTATCCACTAGGCGGCCTGTTAGGAAACATGAAAACATTCTTTGTAATCCTTACTGGCTCTCATTTGTTCTGTGAACGGGGTGGCCCCAAAACCCCCTCAAAGGGAGCTTGACCCGTGAACATCCATAGGGTCCATTCCCAGGCCTGTGCCAACGAGCAGCGTCCCTGCTTCGCACACCCAATCCAATACTGGACAGTCCTTGTTTCACCCATGACTTGACGGTTCAGGAAAGATCTGTAACATTTTGAAATCACATATTATAAAATTCACCCTTTTAATGTACATTTATTTGGGTAGTTTTTTTTTTTTGGCATATTCTTAGAATAATATGACCATGTCGCTATTTAATTCTTGAACATTTTTAGCATCCCAGAGCAAACCTCTCACCTATTTCCAATGTCTCCCAGCCTCCTCCCTCCTTATGCCACCTGGCTCTGGCAACCTCCATCCACCTGCCATCTCTCTAACTCTGTGTATTCTGTGGCCATTTTGTGTCGCTGGGACCCCAGGGTGCGGTCTTCTGTGACCGCCTTTCTCTCCACAGAATGTTTTCTGTTGCATGTTGTGGAAATCGGCACTTCATCTCACTGCTTGGATGATAATATTCCATGTGGACACAGCACACTCCTCTCTATCCATCACAGGTGTGCTCACCTGGACTGACCTCGGAAACTAGACCATTTGCTGGCGAGGTGGTTAACGGGGCAAAATCAGGGTAGGAAGATGGGTGTGAGGGGATCAGGCCCACAGCGAGGGGAGAGGGAGGATGGGACTTGGAGCTTGTTCTACTGACAGACGAGGGAAGTCAAGGTCACCAGGGGGTCTGCGCAAGGAACAAACCTGAACTAGCTGCGTCTCCTGCTCTTACCATAAAGCCACAGGCTTAAAAGAGCATCTCGTCAGAGGATGGAAGCCTGGTGGTGGTTTCAATCTTGCCTCATATTTCTCCTGGAAACTCTTGAGAATCAGCCTTCCACACTCCTTTTTTGGAGTATGCACAGCTGATAATTGCCTCTTGTGCAATTATCTGCCAAGTCCCGTTGTTAATGAAATGAATGATTTACTTATCCTTGTTAGTAATGGCCCACGTTGCACAAAGACCCATTACTGCCTCCGAGAGGCTGGCAGGAATGCCTGTCGAGGTACCCGCAAGCTGTTCCAGCAACGCGTAGTCTGAGCTCAGCTTGACTGGGGAGGGAAGGCTCCCAGAGCCCTTGGGGTACAGCCTGCCAGGGCCTGTGGGGTACAGCCTGTGTCCCACGGCCCTAGTCATTCATCAAGGGCTGGGAGCCTCTAGACGCCAAGTGAGAAGGAAGCCAGAGCTCAGCTCGTGTTGGCCAGTCTTAACCTGTGAAGGTAGCTGCTTCCTCCGTTGGAGAGGCCAGCCTAAAAGCCCAGAGGACGTGTTGGGTTCCCTTAGTGCAGAAGACATTGGATTGCTGGGCATGGTGAGGACCCCCTTTCATATCACCCACAGCACATCAGCTCTGACTCCACCCCACCCCACAGCTGCAGGGAAGCTCCTTCCTTTGCTGAGATGTGTGGCTTCACCCTGGCCCCTCTGCCTCAGAATGATGGCACAGAGGATAAGCTAGGATGGATAAACAAGCCTGTCCAAGAAGGCCACGAGAGGACCAGGGTGCTCACTTATCTGGGCTCAGCCACAGCGGCCACTTGTGACTGACCGCATGAGTTGGGGCCTCTGATGTATGAAAAGGAAGTCAAGTTACGCAAAGATAGGTCCTGAGACGCTCTCGTGTGGCCAGAGAGATGACAGCTGGGCCCTGAGGCGACCCTCCCTTCCCACTTCTGAGAGCTGGGGAATCTGGGAGGCCTGGGATGGGCACTCGGAGAGCCGCCTTCAGTGGAGACAGAAAAGGCTCACAACTGCTTGGAAGGGCACCCGACGGCATGAGGCAGAACCACACGCTGCAGCCCAATTTGTCCAGGCTGAGCCGAGGGCAAGATCCCATGGCCAACAGTGGTCACTATCAGTGTCTTCTAGAAACAGTGGTTCTCATCCATTCCATGGAATGCTTGTGTGATTCTTGCCTTCCTTGGTCAGTTCAGGAATGGGGGCACATCAGGAAGGGAAGAGAGAGGCAAGAAAACCTATTTTAAAATATATATATTTAGGGCCCTCCTTGGTGGTGCAGCGGGTTAAAGCACAGCACTAAGAAGCTTAAGCCACTTCTGCATGAGTTCCATTCCCACCTGCCCCGGAGGAGATCCACATGGCGTGGCAGATCTCTCCTGACACGCCCGCTGCTCCCCTTAGCAGTGTACTGCATCAGTCTGCCTGTTCTGCTCCCCACTCTGTCTCTGGTGAATCCTCTCACCCTCCGAATCTCTGGCCTGTACCCCAGCTCTGTATGAATAAATAAATAAATCTTAAAATATATATATATATATATATATATATTTTATTTATTTATGCACATAAGAGCTGGGGTATAGGCCAGAGTTGTGGGCGTGAGAGGATTCATCAGAGACAGAGTGGGAAACAGGACAGGAGGATCAACTGAAACACACTGCAGGGGGAGCCGCGGGGAGAATGGAGAGGTCTGCTGGCCATGTGGGTCAGCTCCCTGGCTGGGATCAAAGTGGCTACAGATAGCCTCCTAGTGCTGAGACTTAACCCCTGTGCCACCAGGGAATCTCCAAGGAAAGCTTTATTGCTACTTGCATAGAATTATTGCCAGGACCCATAGGAAATCTGTGTTTAAATTCTGATAAACTGGGACTTATTTTTGCCATGGAGCAAAGCAGCAAGTAGATTGATTTTAGCTCAATAAAGGGAACCATGGTCAATGCGGACACTGGACAGCCCAGTGTACTCACCAAGTGCATGTGCTCCAGAGCCAGACTGCCTGAGTTTGAATCCCTACCCTGCTGCCTAGGGGCTGTGTGACCATGGGTGGGTGACCAGCCTCTCTGTGCCTTGGTTTCCTCATCAGTAAAAGGGGGTGTTGATTAATAGTACGTACCTCCTGGAGTCGTGAGGGTTAAATGCTATGATCTTCAGGATAGTGTTTGGGGAAAAGGAACGTCTTAAGTGTTCGCTGGGGTTATGTGAGGTGTGTAGAATGTTCTTCCTTGCAATGCACACAATCTCTGCACCCTCAGACAAGCATCCTGTTTGCATGTACACCCCCAGGGTGACTTGGCCCACCCAGTGAGCACAATGGGACCTGGATAGGGAGGGAGGCACTCTGTCATGCTCACATTTTATAGCTGTGGGTGGTTGAAAGACACGCTTTTCCCTAATCTGCCTGATCTATAAGCCCCAGGGGCACTGCCGTGGGTTCCACCCTCATCCCTGACCATGGGTGTATGTGGGGGGCTAGAGAAGGTGTATGATGTCTCAATTCACGGACCTGTTCTCATGACCCCACCTGCTTCTTGGGGGTAAAGCGGCTTGATGGGAACTTTTCAAGGGCTTCCCTACAGTTGTAAGGTTGATCCCAAAGTAGGGACACACCACGCGTGTGTCCTCCTGAAGTCACCTGTGCTCGCCCAGCCTCTGGGGGCAGGCTGTGGTCCTTTCCACTGCAGGAACCCCTTTTTTTCTGGGTGGCCAGATTCCCAAGCTCACCTGGATGGTCCAACAAGACAAAGAGGAAAGGATGAGCTCGGGGTTGGGAGAGTCCTCTGGAGAAAGGGCAACCCCTGAAGTCCTAGCCAAATGCACAGGTTTGGCTGGGTTCCACAGGCATGTGATGTGTGTGGGAAACCGCAGATGTGCCCCGCCTGTTGGCTGGAGCCCAGCTGGGAAATGTTTCCAGAGGGAAGCGCAGGTAGAGTGAAGGTCTGTAGACTCCAATGCAAATGCAGGCATGTCACCAAGCATCGTGGGCGGCCATGTCTCCAAACCGAATGCTCCCGGAGGGGGTTATTCCTCACTTCTAGTTCTTCCAGTCTCTTAATCCGCTTGGACCCAGACGTGGATAATCCAGGGCTTACATAGACGGGATTTGTCACAAGCCTTCACAAAACCACAGTGGACTGTCTAGTCAGAAGGGAAAACTGAAGCATTCGCTATTCCAAGGAAGCAGTTCTAGAAGCCTCCCTGAAGTCATTGGCGAGCGAGATTGGAGCTGGGCTGCTGAAGCCTGGTCATCTGGTGGTGCGGCACCTGAACTTGGTTCTCCTCCAGAATCTTAGAAAGCAAAAAGCATGTACCTAGATGGGTTATTTGGGCAAGTGGCCAGCTTATGGGCTTCTTCTTGGGCACAGTGTGATAGAGGTGAGGTCAGGAAGAGGGTTGCTTGAGTCTAGGAATCTCAATCCTCCAATATGCCAATCACTTATTGGGGAGCAGAGAGTGAAAGGAAGCTTCTAGAAGATAAGTGTTTATTCCTTAGCTGTGCAGGAAAGAGGGGGGACGAAGTCAGAGGGAGGGAGAGAAACTTGAACCTGGGATTGCGAGCGTGGCTGGAGGGCGTGGCCTGAGACGGAGGGCGTGGCTTGAGACAGAGGGAGGGGAGGGAAACTTGAACCTGAGATTGAGGCGTGGCTGGAGGGCGTGGCCTGAGGCAGAGGGCGTGGCCTGAGACAGAGGGAGGGCGGGAAAACTTGAACCGGAGATGGAGGGCGTGGCCTAGGCCGGTGGAGGCGTCACCTGTGTGTGGTGGTGTTCCCATTGCTCAAATGTCAGCAGCCTTTGCTAAGAATGAAGAGTTCAGGTGCCAGTCATGGGGCACTGAAGGTGGGGGTACATGGCCGTGCGCCTCCCCCGGCGTAGGGGCTGTCCTCCCTTGAGTCTCGCGTCCTCTGCAGAGCCGAGAGCCGTGGCCCAACACCCTTTGCCCTCTGATCCTCCTGGCTGTCTCTTGTTCTCTTTGTCCCGGGGTCTGTGGGGCTGGCAGGGTGCCCGTGGGGCGGGCACTCCACTGGGAGCCCTGTTTCCAGTCAGTGTGTGAGTGAGTGTGAGTGTGCACAGAGGCCGGAAGCCTACGCAGATCAGTGCAGGGGCCCAGAAAGCATCCAGAAGGTGGGGCCGCCTGGGGGTCACCTTCTGCAGCCTGGAGCCCCAGGATCTGTGACCGGGAACCACGGCCCGAGCGGCGCCACGAGCGGCGCCAGCACCCTGAGCGGCCAGAACAGCGTCAGTCACTGACCAGCGAGTCCGGGAAGACACGGGTAAGTCGGTCCGGCAGGACCGGTCGTCGCTGCTTCAGTGGGAGGCTGAGGAGCAGGGACTCTCTTGGAAGAAGGAAAAACAAATCAGTGCAGGTGGGGTAGTGAGGGGACCGGAACTGGAGCGCTTCCCGCCTCTCCCCTGCCCAAGCCTGCTGCACAGCAGCCAGATCCCTTTCTCTGGACAGTCTGGGGGCACTGCCGAGGCTGCAGTCCCAAATGCAGAGCAAAATGTGTGAGGGGCAGAGCAGAAATGTGGCCGCTGAGTGTCCCCAAAGCAAGGGTGGCAGGGAGGGAGGCCTGGCAGCTGGTGTCCCCGCGGGGGACACGGAGAACAGGGTTTGTAACTCTCACCTGGCCATGGGAGGGAGGAACATGAGGGCGGTTTGGATGAGGACCAAACGCTTCTTTCGCTTGCAGGGGCTCTAATGGCCGGCGCCCTGGACGCGCTCTGGAGCCAGTACACCTGGGCCTTAGGAAACGGAGGTAGGAGCTGGAGATGCCCAGCCGGCCTGCACGTCCGCGGTCCTGTCTGATGTCAGACGTCTTGAAGAGCAAGCTGCAGTGACGAGCAAGGCTTGGGGGGCGTTCAGGGGCTGGTGGGCCCCTGGGTGTGGTGGCCAGTGTGGCTGTCTCTGTCCCCTCTGCTTTCCTAGATCCGAGAACCGATTCCTGGCTCCTGGTGCACTCGCCCATCCCGGTCACCCTCCTCTTTGTCTGCTATCTCCTCCTGGTGGTGGCCGGTCCTGCTGTCATGAGGTGCCGGGAGCCTCTGAGGCTGGTTGGGCCCCTCGCCGCCTACAACCTGGGCCTCGTGGTTCTCTCGGGGTACATATTCTATGAGGTGAGACTGCAGGGAGCCCTGAAGAGTTCTAGGGCCACTTCCTTTTTGGGGTACTCAAGAGATGAAGATAGCCAGGATCTTTCTACACTGAACGCCAGAGGTCCTTGATGGGAGCAGGTAAATGGGCAGCAATTCCGCCCCACCCCCGGCCCCCAATGCCCTCCTTCCTGTGAGGAAGTTGCTGCACCAACTCCCTTTGCCTTAACTGGAAAGCCAGGCGCCGGCCACGGAGGTTCGTGATAGCAGGAGCGATGTTCCTGACCACCCTCACACTTCAATACCCCGCCACTTCCTGCTTCTCCCTGGGATCCGTGGCCTCTGCCCAGTTTTCCGAGCTCCAAGACCATGGTCCCTGCCAGAAGCTCTCAGCCGCTGTGCACAGAGCTCTCATCCAGAAGGGGCAAGAGATGTGGAGACTGGTGACCTTCAGTCAGTGCCAGCCCCTGTGTACCTGGGACAGGCAGGCAGAGACGCTATCTGGACCCGGGCTTGGGTGTTGGGAAGCTTTTCAGACAAAGTGGTCACAAGTGGTGGCAATTTTGAGTGTTCGTGATGGTGGGGCATGTTCCCAGCACTCCACGCAAATGGGCTCGTCTCATCCTCCAGATACTGCTATCCTGGGGCACAGAGGGGTTAAGTAACTAAGCACAGGCAGCAGGCAGGGGCTGAATTTGCACCCTGGCCACAGGGCTGCAACCTCACTGCCATCCTCTGGTCCAGCAGTAAAAAGCAGGTCATGACATCCATACTCTTTCTCTTCCTCCCTCTTCATGATTGCTCATCTCCAGTCCACACTCTAGCTTCTAGAATCGTCTTCTCTAAACGTGAAAAGCTATTCCCACTGCCTGGTGTGCCCCTCAGCTTCCCGGCCAGTAGGGGTGAAGGTGAGCACCTCTGGCAGATCTTTGCACCTTCCTTAGTCTTTCTTCCATGCCCCAAGCCTGGACATGCGACTGTTTCTTCAGCCACTTCTCTGTTGCCCTGGTAACCCCTCACCCCACCTTCTTTATATTCAGGCCATTGTCACATGGCATGAAGCCTTCCCAGGGTCCCCAAGTTCAGGTTGCTTTTCATATCTCCTCTCTGTGGGGATGTGGGGGGGACTCCCCCAACTGGTGAGCATATTACTGTGTTTGCCCCCTCCATGTTCAGGCTTCCCTCAGTAGCCTGAAATCAGCCCTGGGTGCATGTTTACACCTGAGCAATTGGCCGACACTACTATCAGCCCTCTTGCCTACCAAGAGCAAGGGAGCATTTGCACACACTGCTGGCTGTGGGAGGGCTTCCTCCCCTGTTTTAGGAATTGTATATTAGTTTATCTCCTCGAAGCTGCAAGAGCCACAAAACAGGGCCCCATCTCACCTTTGAAAGACAGGCTTGCATCTTGTCTGGTACACGCAGCAGGCACGGATAACTTGGGGGCCATGCTTCCGTCGGTGGGTGACTTAATTATGGGGGCACATTATATTTGCTATACCCAAATGAACCCCCTACTCAGAGCGTGTCCAGATGTGGGGCATGGAAGAAGGACTCAGTGGTCCCTCTTAGCCTCTATGACCTTCAAGTAAGGATTTGTGTGTTTGGTTGTTGAGGTGACTCGGTGCTCAGAACACTGACTACAAGGGCATTAGCCCCGTTTAAACAACTAAACACATAAATACATGATGAAATCAAACTCCTTAAAACAGCCTTCGAGGGGGAAAAAAAGAAAAAACAGCCTTTGAGACCCCTCCGTCTGTGGGAGCCTCTCTTACAGTCCTGCCCGGTCCTCACCTGGTGACTTAGAGGTCCTTTCACCCAGGTTATCCCCTACCCGCTCCCCACTCTTTGCCTGAGGCTTCCCCATTCTCCAGGACTAACTTCTGGAACATCTCTGGGTCCAGCTCTTCATCTGTACGACGAAGAATACAATCAATGCGATTGTTTCCTACTTTCCCATGAGACTCTGAGCTCTCTTAGCTCAGCTCCCTTAACACTTAGGGTCTCACACACAGTAGGTGCCTTGTGCGGATTTATGATCTGAGAACAGAGACCAGCCACATGTGTGCAAGCCCCACCTCTGACCGGGCCGCTCCATGGGGTGGGGTATATGTGATCAGCAGTCATTCACAAGTGCTGGGGAGGGCCAGGAAAGGCCAGAGAGAGCCAGGAAAGGCCAGGGAGGGCCAGGAAAGGCCAGGAAAGGCCAGAGAGAGCCAGGAAGGACAGTCAGGAGGGTCAGGGAAGGCCCAGGAGGGTCAGGAAGGGTCTGGGAAGGTCTAGGAGAACAGAAAGGGGCAGGGAAGGTCAGGGAAGTCCTGCGAGGGCTATTGCTATCTGAAACACAGCTAGAGGAGGTATGGACCCTGTGGCCCCAACGCCAGTCAGGACGCAGAGTGATGGAAACAGGCTTTCTCATGCTTCCTTTCCCCTTCCTTCCAGTTCATGGTCACCTCCCTTCTGGCCAAGTACAGCTACTTCTGCCAGCCGGTGGACTACAGCCAGAGTGAGCTTGGAATAAGGGTATGGCCAGCAGTGGCGAGAGAAGAGTGTTTCAAGGGCTTGTGAGCCCACCGGCTTAGCACTGGCTCGGAAGGCCTCAGCTTGAGTCTCAGCAGTGCTTATTGCTGGCTGTGTGGCCCTGGGTACTTACTTACCTTGTCCGGGTCTCCTGTTCTTATCTACTAACTGAGGATAATAATATCTACTTAATAAAAGGAAACCATTGCAAGAAGATTGGAGCAGACAAGGCATAAATATGCATAGTGTTGGGCCTGGCACCTATTGAGTGCTAAGGATTTTTTTATGGAAACAGAACAAAAGGTTTCCTTGCAGCCAAAGAAGAAATCTAGCTGAGACTGGATAAGTTACCAGGCAGGCTGTTGGATCCGGGATGGTGAAGGATGGATCAAATTCCTGCAACCCACAGCATAGTGCACTGAGCAACAGCATCAGCTGCCGGCTTGGTGGGAAAGCAGGCAGTCCCACCGGAGGCACACTGATTAAGAACCTGCTTTTCAACAAACAAGCTCTCCAGGGGCCTGGTGTTCCTTAGAAGGCATGGCTCTCCACTGGGGGGTGCTTGGAGAACGCTCTGTTCGCCCTTCCAGTAGCCTTTCCCCTCGGTCCCTCTCTAACAGGAACCCCCTTGCAGGGAGGTGGTCATGTTGGCGCAGGACTAACCGGGGGCAGTGAGGGTGGGACTGAACTGCCAGAACTGCGCCGCCAGGGTGCGCTGCAGGACGGCACCTGGCTGAACTTCTCCCTCCTGCCCAGCAGATGGCGAGCGTGTGCTGGTGGTGTCTCTTCTCGAAGGCCATTGAACTGCTCGACACAGTAAGAATCACTTCTCTTGTTCTCTTGGATGGAACAGATTCTAGGGGCTAAGTGGGGAGGGGGATGCGGCGCCCTGTGAGGACACTTGCCTTCAGTGTCTGTCGGGTGTTCTCAGTCGCTCACGTAGCGCTCAGAGCTTGGCAGGGAAGGATGCTCACCCAGGGAACTCCTCACCTTCCCAGGCTCCCTCAGGCCCCTCTCTTCATCAAAGAATGTGAAGCAAGTATAATGTTAACTCTCATTGGCAGCCAAGGTCTAGGTTAAATGAAAATGAGCTGATATCAGGCAACAGAGGTCTCCAGGTAGTAAGCACCATAGGTGAGTGTGCAGGAAGATATTAGATTCCCTGCATGTGAATCCAGGGGGCTGGTGGGACGGGGTGAGGTGGGTGAGGTCACAATTTTGGGATAGTGATGAGAGATTCTTCACAATTTCTGGCCAAAATGGAACCCAAGCGGAGCACATTAGGGAAGTTGCCTGGGAGTTGCCCTCACCTGGGTATTCAACTGTTGAGGTCTCACCTGAGTGCCCTGGGAGTTGGGTAGAAGCTACAAAGAGCCCAGCCTCCGAAGCAGACCGCGTTCAAATCCAAACGTGACTACCTACTAGGTGTGTGACCTTGGACAACGACCTAAACTGTCTGTATCTCGGTTTGTCAGTGGTAGATGGAACCAAGACCATAAACCGTACTCTATTTTGATTTTGATGCATACAGAGTCCCTGGCACACAGGCTGGGCTATGTAGCTGTGTGACTGCTATTTCCCTTGCGTTTCCGCCTGCCCTTCAGTAACGCGGGCAGAGTCGCCTTCTCCAATCGCCTCCTCCAAGCTAGAGGACAGCCTCGTCCGCAGCGTTGACGCTTCCTCCCACTTCAGGTCTTCTTCGTGTTGAGAAAGAAGCAGGAGCAGATCACCTTCCTGCATGTCTACCATCACAGCACCATGCTCTTTAACTGGTGGGCTGGGGTCAAGTTCGTGCCTGGAGGGCAAGGTAAGCCGCGTGGGGGCGCCCCCTGCCAGGCACGGGTTGGTTCCCCATCTCTGCCATGGAAGCCAGGTCTCTGCTTCTGCTGCTCCTTCTAGGTCTCCACTGTTAGGTGGGGGAAGGGGAGGACGCCGAGGTGGGTGGACCACCGCAGAACCATCAACCTTGAGATCAGGGAGGCAGGGCTCTCACTTAGCAGCCTGGGACTTCCAACCTGGAGTCATGACTGGCCTCAGAGCGCACAAGGCAGGTGTCCTATGACAAGATTTCCCAAGGATTTTCTCCGTAGGTTCACAGAACTGCTCTCTGCAGCTCTGAGACTATGAAAGAGAGCCCAGACCACCGGCAGCCCCGCCCACGTTCCTTCCCTCCCCCACCCGCTCTGCAGCCTTCTTTGTCGGGATGCTGAATGCCTTGGTGCATGTCTTCATGTACCTGTACTATGGGCTGGCCTGTCTGGGGCCCCGCGTGCGGTGCCACCTGTGGTGGAAGCGACACCTCACCACCCTGCAGCTGGTGAGAGCCCCCTCCACCCCGCCTCCCAGGTCTGTGCTGCCCGCCCCGGGTTCAGTTCCACGCTGTCCCATAGGCCAGTTGTCTGACCACGAACAAGTCTGTGTTATTGTTGGAGCTACCTTAGTTTCCCACTTTGCAAGGACCTCAGGTGATTGTGTCAGATGATGGAACCAACCCAGGTCACAGATTTGATGCAGAACCTGGGGTTTGTGGCTCTCCTACTTCAGGCCTCGGCCTCATCATCTGTAAAATGAGGAGGCTGGACTAGATGGTCTCAAATACCCTCCAAGTCTGTGATCACTCGTTGATCCACCCCAGGAACTCTTAGGATCACAGTTGGGGGTGGGGGTGGGGGACGCGTGGGAAATGGAGCCATGTCCACTAGGTGTCGCTGTTCCCCCCCTCTGCTATAGACAGACTTTCGGACTGGAAGGGTGAAGGGGACCATCCTTTTCGCCCCTCAGCATGTCTCTCTCTGCTCACCCATCTTTCTTCTCTTGCTCTCTCTCTCCTGCAGGGTCAGTTTGTGGCCATTGCTGTCCACTCTTCCTACAATCTCTTTGCTGAGTGCCCCTTCCCGGATGGGTTCAACATGGCTGTTCTCCTGTATTCCCTCAGCCTCATCCTCCTCTTTCTCAACTTCTACTACCAGACATACCTCAAGGGCAAGCAGGACAAGCTCACTTAAGGAGCTGCACCCCGGGAGCTCGCAGCCCAGTGGTGCAGAGTAGATTCCTCTGGTACTGCATTTCATCCTATGAAGGAAAAAGGACCTTCTTTCCAGGGGAAAAAAAAGTTGGACCCATTTTCCTGTACTGACTTCTGTTATGGCACTTCCCATGTGAATTTGTAACAATGAATCTTCTTTCCTTACTAAGTGTGAGCCCTTCACGGGAGGGACAGTCTTCTCTCTATGTCCCCCGCCTGACACAGCACCTCAATAAATGTTCATGTGGTACCTTGTCTTCCATGGCTGACAGTCATGAGCTCTGGTGATCAGGATGGGGAGGTAAAGAAGGCAAGGCTGGTTGATCACTAAGCTTGAAGGGGAAAACATGACAGAGGATGTCTACGCTGAGCATGTGTGCATTTGATGCTAATGTGGTTTCATGAAGGTCTGCCTGTGCGTATCTTCCTGTCTGTTCACGCTACCTGCTTGTGTATTAATAGAGAAGTGTAATTCTGTGCTTGTGAATGGGAATCAGACACATGCATCTATGTTTACAGCTATGCGTGTTTCCATTTGCATTTCTCTTTGCTTGCATGTCTTTTCTGTACATCTCTGAAAGTGTCACACAGGTAAATAAAGGCACCACTGGGTGATAACTCTCCTGTCTCGGATAAGAGACACAGAGGTCTACTGGGACATCTCCGAACACATGTTGCACTGAGGACTTTCTGTTTTGTCCTGGCTTCTGCGACCGGCCGGCAAGAAAGAAAGACAGGAGGCAGAAAGGCTGAGCAAGCAGAGTTTATTGCTCAAGGGCAGCAGCTGAGACAGAGCCCGTAGAATAGGGTCCCAAGCTACTGCCAGTCCTATGGGGGGGAAGGGTCTCTTATATAGATTCTAAGCTCAGATTCCAAAGGGGTGACTCATCCCTGTGTCCCTTGATGTAAGGCCCAGTTATCACCTTCTTCTAGTCCCACCCTGGATCCAGATGCAAGGCCCAGTTAATTGGAGGCAAGGCCCAGTTTATTACGGTCTTATCACCCTTGGACGTAAGGCCTAATTTATTACTGCCCTTATCCAGTCCCTCAGTAAATCTCAGCACTTGGTCACTCCCAACACTTTCAAATATAAGAAAAGGCCAAACACAGACAGCTGTCCATATCACAGAGAGGAGCAGCAGAAAGGAGCACGTGACTGAGATCACAGTGTAGCAGAAGTAAACTTCTGCAGGACAGTTTGAAACTGGAGCTGGATAGATCTCTGCAAGCATTTTGCCTGAAAGCAGCCTCCCATGCGCTTGTTCTTCTTTACAGTTTCTCCCCTTAGCTCCTTCCCTCCATTAGGTAAGTTCTTAGTATGTGATGCCTCAACACCTAAGGACATTAAAGAACCGTTGAAGGTTATACAGTGCTATTCAGGGACTATTCATTCGCTAGGTATTCTAGTTAATTAACTCAAGGCCAGGCCGGGCTGCTTCCTGTGGACAGAATCCTTTGAGAAAACTTCCTCTAAGTCACACAGGATATGAACACATCCCAACACTTTCCTTAGGCAGGTTGAGTGCCTTCGGAGGTGGGTGCCTATTTTAAGGCAAACTTTTTTCCCCTCTGAATACATTGGACTATAGTACTCATGTGGATAAGAATAAGGGGAAAGTTAGTCATTTCAGAGGTCAAAGCTAATATTCACCCTGTTCTTTCAGCTGTCTCTACTGACTAAGCAGCAGAGGAAGTATCTGTCCTGGGTCTGGTCTGAATGAAATAAGGTTTTCACTGGGGAGACCTTGATGTGAAGCAGTGTGAAAGAAGGTGTTTGGGGGGAAATTCTCAATGAGCTGAAGGTATCCCTTTTAACACATGCTATGACGTAAACTCTGCCTGGGTCAGGAGTACTGGGTAGGGATTGCTTATCTGTGTAGATTGAGTGAAATGTATAAAACAGAAAGTTATTTGTGTCTGTCAGAACACTGCCCAATGCCTAATTAATACTGTAAAAGTTCACGTCTATAAATGTCTTAAGATAATGCTAAGGGTGATGGTTAGGTTAAATATACAGCAGGGCTGAACTTTTGCCAGGGTATCCTTTTACAAAGACAGAGAGGCCCAGAGTCTGGTCAGAATGTTCCAGAGACTGAAGAAAGTGTTAGCACCCCATCTCCCACCCCCTATCCCCTGACGGTAGAAATGGAATTTAGCACTTCTCAGAACAAAGTGACTCTAACCCAATTAGTTTTCCTCCTCGTGCCTGCCATTGGGTGTAAAACTCTAACCTTGTCTAAGTAACAGGCGGTTAGAGTCATTGGGTGGCTTTGATACACAAAACTGGTCAAATGTCTTCCCTTAGGTTGTCAAGGCCTGCCCCTATTGTTAAACAAAACTGGGTAAAACCCAGTCTCTCATCTGTAAATACCTTCCCTTTTTGTTATGCAAAAGTCATCCAAACCCATTCAGGACCCCATCTGTGAACCCGCCCCCCTCAAACTAAGCAAGTATTTGTATCCGTGGCCTTGAGACCAGTGGGATTCTCTGAATCTTGGACTCCTCACTTGAGTGTGTCCTCACCTACCATACAGCTTCATTTCTAACTCACCCTTGCTGACTCCCCTTGAATTCTTTTTTATTCTCTGCATAGGACCCAAGAATCTCAGAATCTCTCCACACCCCAGGGCCCCATCACACTCACCTCAGATCAGTACAGTAAGTCCTCACTAACATGGCCCATAGGATGTTGGAAAGTGTGATTTTTGTTTCCATTTTCTAGAACAAATTATTTATAGTTGCTACGATTTTATGTTTTGACATGAAAGACCCATTAAAACATGTCAGAAAGACTTGATAAGGGAAAATACACACAAAATATATATAGCAGTTGTATGAAAGTGATGTGAATAATGGGTGTATTTGACTAAATTAAACTATGTAATATCATTTTTTATGTTTTCTGTAATTTTCTTTTAAAGATTTATTTATTTATTCATATAGAACGGGGTACAGGCCAGAGGCTCAGGGGCGGTGAGAGGATTCACCAGAGGCAGTGGGGAGCAGAACAGGCAGATCAATGAAGTACACTGCTGAGGGGAGCAGCGGGCGTGTCAGGAGAGGTCTGCCACGCCATGTGGATCTCCTCCGGGGCAGGCGGGAATCGAACTCAAGTGGAAGTGGCTTTAGCTTCTCAGTGCTGTGCTTTAACCCACTGTGCCACCAGGGAGGGCCTGTTTTCTATAATTTTAAGGAAAACACATGATCAAACCAAACTGACAATAAGCTAATTGATATGAATTAAGGTTCATGATAATAATAAGAATGTCTTAGGCATATTTCTGCTCACAAAAGTATCACCAAACTTCCAAATAAAGACCGAAAGTGCTTCTTATTTGAACCATCATTTGTATTGGTTCATTCATTGTCCAATCTGCTTATTCCAGTTCAGAGTTAAGGGTGGCCAGAGTGACTCCAGCAGGTCAGGGTGCAAGGTGGGCTCTGACCCTGGACAGGATGCTTTTCCCCCATAGGAGACACTTAATTACACACACACACATGCAGACTGGGATGGTTTCGACACACCAATAAACCTCATGTGCACATCTTTGTTATTGGTGTGTGGGAAGAAACCAGAGCACCTGAATCAAACCCACATAGACGTGAGGAAAAGGTGCAAACTCCATAGACAGTGGTCCTCAAGGGAATCAAGGCTTTTCCCCCTGGCCAATCTTAGAATGAAATGAGTCATCGAACAAAATAAAGCTCTTTGAGAACCTGCTGTATGTGTAACTGAAGGAATAAAAACTACTCAAGACCTCCTTGGTCCTGCTGCGGGTTAAAGCACAGCACTAAGAAGCTAAAGCCACTCCAGCATGAGGTTCCCACGGTGCAGCAGACCTCTCCTGACCTGCCCACTGCTCCCCTCAGCAGTGTATTTCATTGATCTGCCTGTTCTGCTCCCCACTCTGTCTCTGGTGAATCCTATCACAGCACCTGTGCCTCTGGCCTGTACCCCAGTTCTGTATGCATAAATAAATAAATTAAAAAAAAAAACTACTCAAGTTTTCCTGACAGCTCCGAGAAGACCCCCCCCCCATTGCCCCAGGTTACACTCTAGTTCCTGCTCAGCTGATCACCCCTGACTGGGCTTAGTCTGATGGAGCAGGATACAGAAGAAAAGGCTATTTCCCTGGCAATCTAGCAGTTCTCTGTGCAAAAGGGGGGCTCCCTACAAAGAAGATAACCTCTGATTTTTGTCCTTTGTTGCCAGGCAGTCTTGGGGGGAATGTCTGTTACCAAGGAAAGCTTGACTGGGGTTTTAGAATGGAAACCCTCACAATCAAGATATAAGATCTGAAGGTGATGTGAATGTCAGGTGTTCAGCCAGCTGCTGCCATGGTGTGTGAGGGAGTAAACTACACGGGAGACAGGCAGCACCTGACTCCAGGATCTTGAGGTTAGTGGGGGGACATGGACTGTTGACTAATGCAGAGGATTCACCCAACACAGACTGTTACAGCGCAAGGGGAGAGGAGTAGGGCTGAACCCCCAAACCTGCCTGCTCTAAATAGTTTCTGCCATCTGCCGCATCAAGACATATGCGACTTTTAACAGAAAGGAACTTTAATACAATGAGTGTGCAATACAGAAAAGACAAAGATTTTAATTTCTAAATCAAACACCCAGAGTTACCTGTCCCTTTATGGGTAAAAGTCCACCCAAAAGGGATTGGCCCAAAACAAGGCCTGAAGGCCTGCCACAAGTCTAAAGCTCCATCCAGTGGGGACCCATAGAAAAGGGTCAGAAATGGCCAGAGAAGTCTGGGAGGAAAAGAGCAAAATCAAACTCAAAATAAATGTTGCCATAGTCAACCTCCCCACGGGTCTGTCCCCCACATCTGTTTCACCCAGTTCAGGGCCAAGAAGCAAGAGAAATTTCCTCACATGTCTCTCTGTTCCTGTGGCCCCCTCAGGTGACCTTCTGGCTTCCATCCTGCTTCTTCCTTCTCCAGTCTGCTCTCAAGATTCTTCTTGCTCAGCTCCACCCTCCTTTGGGTGGGCCAGGGAACCTGGCATCTCCCCTTTTCCTGGGGACCCTCTCCCTCCTATAAGACCACACAAAGTCTTTACAAAGGACGAGGCCCATGCAGGCCTGACTCAAAGAATCTGCTCTGGGTTCTCAGAAGCAGCAGCTCAGTTCAAAGTCTCTTTGTGCTTTCCTGGCTGGGACATCAGGGCAGTTCACAGCCCAGTCTGGTGCCAGGAGCACAGTTCAAGGCAGGAGGTATGTTAGAGTCAAGAATAGGCTCTGAT